GGGGAGTTCAGGGGAAGTTTGGTCGGCCCTTCAACTGTGGTATAATTACTTTCCTTAGGGGTTATGTTGGCCCTGGAGCCGAGAAATTGGCCTGTGTATTGTAGGCCCTGGAAACAGTCTGGTACCTAGACTAGATTTTTCTACAGTCCTTCAATCCAAGAAGTGACTATCAAAGAAGCTCGGGTACTGCGACGAATTGTGACCGTAGCTAGCTACTGTAACGTTATCTAAAGAAGTACTCGAGCTTTTGTAGAACACGTTTAGCCATATTATAAATTGCATTAAAACTTGCGCCTGTCTACCGGCTCTAATGACATTGATAGAACAGGGGAAAATCACTACAGTATGGTTTTCATTAGCTCTTCAAAACAAGCCTTGGAAGTTTTGAAAAAGGGGTACTAGTATGTTCCCCTGTATGTCTACGAAGTTCTCGATTAATACACTAAAATAACATGCGTTATAATATTGAGCAAAAGTATATCTTGATTTTTTCAGCATATACAGACGTCTTATTTTAGTATATTATATTCCATAACTAAATAAAATTTAGAACAGCTGTTTCTCAGCTGTAGCCACCACCATACATATATTCATAATTTTTCTTTATACGATCAACCGATTCAAATAAGCCAGATCGAAAATTTATGCATTTTTACCATAATCCATTTCATCGTATTCATTGAAACTGGAAAACAATTCAAAGCAATTTAACAACAGGAACAAATAGATATTGAAAAGAAAGAAAACTTAAATATTCTGATAAATAAACGATACTAGTTATTACGTACTTACCTCAGTTTTGTTCAATAAACAAGCTGTGATAATGAGTAGAAGTATGACGGTCTTGCTGATGGTAACTTGGAACCATTCCATGGCTGATCACGACGATTTTCTACACACGATCGAAGTACTAGAGTTCCGAGAAAGACCCAACAAATTATGACCCGGTCCTGTACTGCTGTCCAGACGACACGGCCAAGTCTACGGCTACTCCTTGACACAGCTGCGGCAACTGGAGTCCTTCTACCCCGCTGGTCTTGTCAGATAACTTCTGCTCCCAAAGATCAAGATCACGACGATCTTTTCACGTCCGGTCGGTGCTCTCTCTTGGGAACAGGCCGTGTAAAATGACCCGCAGGATTCTGACTCTCTGGTTCTTGTCAGAGGGTCCTGATCAGAACCACATGTGGAGGATGTGTTTCGTCCCGTTGCCAAGACGCCCCGGAGCGAGGACGGCGAGTCGGGCTGAGGATTATGCAGAGAGGGGGCATTCCGCCACATAAGGACGGCGTCAATCAATGTCAAAACCAGGAGGACGGCATCTATCAATGTCATCACTAGAGGGACTGAATCTATCAATGTCAACTACTCAAGAAAAGAAGGACGGCATCTATCAATGTCAACACCAGAAATAAGCACTGCATCTATCAATATAATATCATCACCAGGAGGACGGCGTCAATCAATGTCAACACCAGGAGGACTGCGTCTATCAATGTCATCACCGGAAGGACTGCATCTATCAATGTCATCACCGGAAGGACTGCATCTATCAATGTCAATACCTGAAGGACTGCATCTATCAATGTCAACTACTCAAGACCAGAAGGACGGCATCTATCAATATTAACACTAGAGGGGATGCATCTATCAATGTCAACTACTCAAGACCAGAAGGACGGCATCTATCAATATTAACGCTAGAGGGGATGCATCTATCAATGTCAACTACTCAAGACCAGGAAGGCTGCATCTATCAATGTCAACACTAGAGGGGACGGCATTTATCAATGTCAACTACTCACGACCAGAAGGACGGCGTCTATCAATGTCAAAACCAGGAGGACTGCATCTATCAATGTCAACTACTCAAGACCAGAAGGACGGCGTCAATCAATGTCAAAACCAGGAGGACTGCATCTATCAATGTCAACTACTCAAGACCAGAAGGACGGCGTCAATCAATGTCAAAACCAGGAGGACTGCATCTATCAATGTCATCACCAGAAGAACTGCATCTATGACAGGGAGCTAAAACGTCTTTTTAACTCCATGATCAATGTCAACACCAGAAGGAATGCATCTATCAATGTCATCATCAGAAGGACTGAATCTAACGGTGTCATTAGGCCATGTTGATTAGATTATATGGATGACATCATCTGCGAACTCCAAAACTGATGCGAGCGTGCGAATATAAAAAAAAGGTTGGCCAAAAGAAAAAAAAAAAGTTGCGTTCATTATGAAATCTACGTAGTTTTGAAGGTTAAACAAATGACACAGAGTATGGTTTGTTTACATTTTCGTCTTTTTCGTTTGATTTTGGCATTCTATGACTACTCTACTCTACTCTACTCTGACGTAACATGTAACGTTGCTACATTTGTATTGTGTTACTGCCGAAACTACTCTGAAAACGAGTTACATAAAATTCTTGTTATTCTTGCTCCTTCACAAAACATCTACCCTGGGTGCCAAACTACTAGTATCGAGCCGTCAGCCGTTTTCCTTCGCCCGCCTATCTAAATTAGCGCCACGGAGGAGTTGAGCCCAGGAGAATTTGTCCTCTTGGCTGGGCTCTTTGGCTCTTGACTGCCGAAGGAAAACGGCTAAAGGCCCGATACTAGTTTGGCACCCAGGGTACAAAACATCAAACAGAATGAATGCAAGTGCCCCACACTTTCTTCTGTATACCGAGAAGCAGCGCCTCCTTGCGGGTTGGGTAGAAAAGGCAGTCCCGAGGGCACGGGGTCATCATCAAATCGTCATCAACATGGCGGGCGTTCTGAGGTTGACCCGATGGGTCGGCGGACTTCGTGGCTCTTTACTGCCGTAAGTACGATATCTCCAACTTCTAGTGAACTCATGGCTCGTTCTTGATGCCTTCTTGATGTTTGATATCGTTTTAATAACATACAGGCTTCCGTTGTGGCGAGTTCATATGCATTTTGCTGGTGGGGAGGGGGGCGTTTACTTTTGCGTTGTCTTTCGAGTATTTTCGTCCATTCCTGGTATCAGAAATGGAGACAGAGAAGCGTACATATCTTCTTAATAGGAACCAGCTATCTATAGCGATAGAATATTAAAAAATGAGGACGATTATGAAGATAGGTTTTGTGTTTAACGTTGCTTGTTTTTACACACACTAAATTACAGTGCCCAAGGCGGCCACCATGTGCAACAAGGGTCTAAATATTCTTCAGGTTAGTAGAAATTTAATACATGTTAGGTTGAAAGTTATATTTATTCTTATAGAAAAAAACCCTTTAATTTCCATCATAATACTGCTGTTGTATTTCTCCATGTATATCATGTATATGTTCAACAAAACAAACCAATAGATTTACCACAAATTATTTACAATGACGTGTGTGAGTGACAATATCATTGCTGTAGTTTAAACTACGACAATGATATTGTCACTCACACACGTCATTGTAAATAATCAAATTTAGTGCTTGGCACTGATATTGTGCCAACAGCCTGGGATTCGAACCCCCAACCTTCTAGTTCAACAGCTGCTTTGCTAAGGCCACAGCAAGTAAATTTTATGGGTGACGTCATCCTCCGCAGACTCCAAATCTAATGTGAGTGGCCAAAAGAAACAGGGTTCCTACAATTTAAAATTTTGACTTAATCATTGTACAAATAGTTTTGATTCAGTGGGAACATCACATATACACAGCCAGCATCACATATCACTGCATCAAAGAAACAAAACATTAAATCAGAGCCTTGTCTTGTCTCCTCACTTCTTACTTATCTGCCATCCACCTCCCAGCATGGCAACAGACATCTTTGCCCATTTTCGGCATGTTGACCACTGTCAGAAGGCAACAAAATTTCTTTTTTTTTCTCCAAAATCAGGCGAAAATTAATGCGTGCGCTGATATCATCCATAAAAATTACTTGCTGTGGCCTAACGTGTGTCTTGTACACTTCCAGCTCCCTCCACAGTTCTGATCAACAAGATCCTGATAGCTAACCGTGGTGAGATTGCGTGCCGTGTGATGAGGACAGCCCAGAAGCTGGGCATCAGGACAGTAGCCGTGTACAGTGATGCTGATCAGGACTCCATGCATGTCGCAATGGTGGGCTTCCAATAGACCAGTTTATCTTTCACGTAGGGGTGGGTACCTGTATAGAAAATTCAGGTCCGGATCAGGTCCAGAGGATCAGGTCCAGAGGATCAGGTCCAGAGGATCAGGTCCAGAGGATCAGGTCCAGAGGATCAGGTCCAGTGGATCAGGTCCAGAGGATCAGGTCCAGAGGATCAGGTCCAGAGGATCAGGTCCAGAGGCTCAGGTCCAGAGGATCAGGTCCAGAGGATCAGGTCCAGAGGAACAGGTCCAGAGGATCAGGTCCAGAGGATCAGGTCCAGAGGATCAGGTCCAGAGGATCAGGTCCAGAGGATCAGGTCCAGTGGATCTGATGATTGTTGTACAGTAGCACTATTATCATATCTTGGAGCGTGAAACACTCAATAATGTGTTATGTATTATGTTCAAGTTGTACATATATTGAAGCTGAACACAGTTACAGAAAGAGACAAACATGGATTTAGGCCAATCTACATGTAGTTGGATTCAGGGTTATTTTCTTTACCTGCCATGGCCAGATTATCGAAAGATGTGTGTGCAATCTACAGAAATGTACATCAGGTCTGATGATCCAGTTTTCGGGTTTCGTTTTTTTTGACTCGGTTCCCGAATGTTGTCCCGGTCTAAACCCATCCAGTTGAACTGGTACCCACCCCTTATTAGCATGCTGTTAAGGCCAGAAAGTTGTAGACAAAAAGCAGGCAACAGTTGGGTGATGTGCCTGCTGATAATTTGCATATTTACTTCCAGTAATTTGTATGTAAAATGTAAATGATGAAAACAAAGACAGCGATCGGCCGTATTGATGCAATTGTAACATTCTATTTTTACAGATAAGGGATTTCTTTTAGCTATGAGTCCTAAAATGGTCAAACCTAGATTACTTCTGCCCTATAGGTAAGAACCTTACAAACAAGCAAACAAAGAATCATGAAAATATATTGATGACCTGAGCTGTTCTGCTTGCAAGCAAACAACTGCAGTTTCTGTGGAAGTAGACAGGGGGTGCAAATGTCATGCTCTTGTACACTTTGTTCTTCCAGGCAGATGAGTCCTACAACATCGGCCCTGCACCTTCTCAGGAGAGTTACCTCAACATGAAGAAAATTCTCTCTGTGGCTAAAAACACAGGAGCTCAGGTTAGTATCTCCAGATACATGACTGTATTTTCGTTATTAGGCCTAGGAAAAAATGTTTTGTTTCCTGTTTCCTGACTGATCCTAGAAAAAACTGCCATTAGTAGTTACTATTAACCAAGAAGTTGAATCAAATCTAAGTTATTGACACAAGTAAAGGCATCATCAAACCACAAGTTTTTGTGCCATTACAAAAATGATACCGATATTGATACTAGTTAAACATAAGAAACATCAGCCATAAGAAAATCTGTTTCACTAAATCTAGTGCAATGAATTAAATGCATTATCCTAAGCCACAAGTTATTCCAGACTTTGAAAAAAAAGAGTTTTTTCTTCTCCATTGCAGGCCATTCATCCAGGTTATGGCTTTCTGTCAGAAAACACAGAATTTGCCGACTTATGTCAACAAGAGGGAGTCATCTTCATTGGTCCACCTTCCTCAGCTATTAGAGACATGGGCATAAAAAGGTAAAATTTTCATTCTGAAATATCAGATGTTTTAATTCGGTAAACATATTGTTTTGCTCTGTTTCCTCTTCTTCTCCTCCAAACAAATAAGGTCAATGACCTGCACCAGACGTCTGTCACCATGGTAACTGGTGTTGGGTCATGTTTTGCAATTTTATAGCAGGAGGAATTTAGACTCCTGTCTGACCATATATATGAATGTGTTTGAGTAAGAACTAGAGTTCCACGATCTCATACCTTCGCCAAATGATGTTAGCCTTTATGAATAAGAAATATGCTAATCACCCTGATTATGCAAATAGGATCCTCAATTGCATGAATTATATCAGTCTGTTGATCATATTCTCCACCAAAAGACAGTCTTATCTTAACAAAGAATGCCATTTTCTCATAAATTATGCAAATGTGGTCCTTATTTGAATAAGTTATGTTTAATTATGTTCACCTTCACTTAACTTTCAAACACCCCAAGTATGAAATTCCAGGCAGTTACCACTACGCAATTATAACATTTTCTCATTAATTATGCAAATTAAGTGTTCATTTGCATAATCAATATTTGCCTGTGTTTCTCTCGTTCTTAATAACATATGTTACAAGCTTGAACTTCCTATCATGGAATGCAGCTGATTTATAGAATTTCCTCATTAATTATGCAAATTACATCAATATTTGCATAATTGTAATATCATTATGTCAAGCATTACTTAAGCTACCTACATACCAAAAATCACGATGATCCATCAATCGGTTCTTGAGTTATCCTCTTTTAAACATTTGTCCTTTAAACCCCCCTGCAGTTCTAGAGCAAGCCGCTAGGCAGTTCTAGACCAAACTCACGTCACTTCGTCCCCAGCACAAGAGCTACCTACCATCCAAATTTCATCACCATAGCATGTCTGGATCTTGAGATATCAAAACCAGAAGTTCAGCTGCAGTACCATAACAAGCCGCTAGGGGGTCCAAAATCTAATCATTTTGAGGTCTCATCAAGACCTACCCATCTACCAAGTATCAAGACAATCCATCAAGGCCTTCTCAAGTTATCGTGTTGACAGACAGACAGACACACACACACACACACACACACACACACATACACGAACGCCCCTGAAAACATAACCTTCTTGGCGAAGGTAATTAACAGAGCAGACCATATGCGAAGGTAAACATTATGCATTTGGTTTGCAAATGTTACCTTTCTAGTGGTATACTGTTTTATAATTTTATGATTAAGACTTTATATATAGATACTTATTATTGTAGCCTATTCCTAGAAAAGCTAGGAATTTTGACCTCCCTGATTTGTTTCTGTCATCCTCCCATTCATTAAAAACGCTTTTAAAAAAGATTCTCTGAAACTTTCTGTTTACCAACTGAAATAACACAGATAATTTTAGATTTGGAAAGTACCCTCTGGCCTAGTGTCAGGATCACTAACCACTACTCAATGTAATACATTGTTGTTGAAATTTGCCACTTTTTTTCTCTCAAGTACTTCAAAAGCCATCATGTCTGCTGCCGGGGTGCCAATCATTGAGGGTTACCATGGCGAGGACCAATCAGTGGAGAGATTGAAGGCTGAGGCAAAGAAGATTGGTTACCCTGTTATGGTGAAGGCTGTGAGAGGGGGAGGAGGGAAGGTGGGTGTTTATTATGTTAACATATTGTTTTTGCTATGTTTCTTCTTCTTCTTCTTCTCCAAACAAGTGAGGTCAATGACCAGGACCAGATGTCTGTCACCATGGTAACTGGTGTTGGTTTACTTAATGTTGCAACTAGAAAGGTAACATTTGCAAAGCATATGGTCTGCTCTGTCAATTGTTACTCAAATACATTCATATATATGGTCAGACAGGAGTATAAATCCCTCCTGCTATAAAATTGCAACATTATGTAACCAACACCAGTTACCATGGTGAGAGACGTCAACAAATCAAGTCATTGGTCAGGTCAGAGGTCAGCTTTTGGAATGGAAGAAGAAGAGGAAACGTAGCAAAAACAATATGTTTTCCTTCGGCAAACATAACTATTGGCTATCATTTGACATTTCTTCTTGGACATAAGACACTTAAACTTTAGCTACAGTTTGTATATTCTGTCTTCTCTTATAGGGCATGAGAATAGTGATGACAGAGGCAGAGTTTGAATCTCAGTTGGAATCAGCCAAGAGAGAAGCTCTGAAGTCCTTCAACGATGAAGTCATGCTGGTTGAGAAATTTGTGGACACTCCAAGGTGAAACTGTCATGTATTGTTGTTCAACTCTGAACTAGGAAGAACTCCACTCTTCTTCTAGTATATTGTATTTCTGAATGGGTAAATATGATTGCAGGTAAACAGTGGTAGAAACCTTTTTTTCAGTGTTCTTCAATATTGCAGATGAGTCAAAATTTTGTTCTGCAATTTGCAAACACACTTTCTGTAAATACACAAGCTTGTGTTAAGTATCCATACTACAACCTTCTCAAAAAAATACCATCATTATGATTCATATATTTACATCATGATATATATAACTTTGTAACCCATAGCATTACTGTAACATTCTTTCTTTATTATCTCATTTTATCATTTCGTAGTTCCTCAGATATATAGACATCAGGAAATATGTGGGTTTTTAGTTGCGTGCAGTCTCCTTGTGAGAACCATTGAAAACCAATCCTGCCTGATTATTTCATTCTGCAAAATTGCAGATTGTAGAATCTTTCATCTGCAATCTTGAAAATCTACCTACACTTTGCAGAAAATGGGTATTTTAAACACTGCTAAAAGTCTTGTAGCCTTTTTTTTTTCTCTGGCTGAAAGGGCAGTGGCAATTTACTGTGGCATTGCATCCTTGAGAAAGACACTTTACACAACTACACAAAACCACTCTCCTACGGCTTAAAAATAGCTATGACTCAGATTTCCCTTTACCTTTTGCTATATATGACTATAAAAGACTCCCTTTCTTTCTTTTGTTAACAACAACAGACACGTGGAGGTCCAAGTGTTTGGAGACCAGCATGGGAACGTGGTGTACTTGTTTGAGAGAGACTGCAGTGTTCAGAGGAGACATCAGAAAATCATCGAGGAAGCCCCAGCTGTGAGTACAGTTGTACTTGTACAAGTATAGAAAACATTATGAAACAAGTTTGAACTGTAATGGCCCACACAAAAAATTGGACTCACCCAAATTTTTGACGGTACAACTCCATTCCTTGACAAAGACTGAAGTTGTACTGTCAAAAATTTTGGTGATTCCAATTTTTTTATGTTGGCCATTTCAGTTCAAACTTTTCATAACACAGTTTCATAATAACTTCTACATGTACCAACACAGATGAACTTTCAAGATAAGTAGAAAACATTGTTAGAAGTTACTGTAAATGTAATCTCCATGCAAATGTTAAGGTTGAAAACCGTAATATATTCTGACTGGTCTGGCTTCTCTGTCAGACATAAGTTTTGACATTAGTCAGAAAACATTACAATTTTCTACAGGAGCATTCTAACTTCGAAGCACTGAAATGTACATGATAATTTTATTTTCATTGTGACATCTCCACTCTTTTAATTACAACACAGGAAACTCATTCCCATTTCTGTTACTACTTTTTTTAAATTAATACTTTTACACCATTGTTTCAAGTTTTCAACTGTGGACTTAAAACATACTTACAACTAAACCCCCACTTACAAAAATGAATGAAGTTACAGTATGCCAGTAACAGAACTGGTGATTTGTACCATTATTGTAAGTTCCAGGCTTAGAATTATAATGTAGGTATTGATTCTGATGTGGGTTTTGTCTTTTAGCCTGGATTGACAGAAGAAGTGAGAAGAAGACTGGGTGAGGCAGCCGTCCGAGCAGCCAAGGCTGTCAACTATGTGGGGGCAGGTGAGTAGCGACTGGCATGGTTTGAAACTGGGGAACTTGTAAAAACTTCCACTTGTAGTTGCTCCAAGTGCCATGCATGGTTTATATGATTTAGGGCCAAAATGCCAATGCTCAAATCTGAAACATGTAAAGCTTGAAATGTGAAATGAAAGAAGAAAAAGTTCACAATACATCAATAGATCATTGTGATAGAGCAATCCAATATCCCTGTCTACCACTTTCAAAATGTAAAAATCAACAACTTTGAATGGATATGAAGCCACTCTTTCATTGGTCAATTCTCTAATTACCATGCTATGATTGGTTGTACTGCTAATTGTGATGGACATTCAGCCATTCTCTCATGGGTGAATTCTCTAATTACCGTGCTATCATTGGTTGAACTGCTAATTGTGATGGACATTCAGCCATTCTCTCATGGGTGAATTCTCTAATTACCGTGCTATCATTGGTTGAACTGCTAATTGTGATGGACAGCAGCCAGAATCAATCTATTGGAATTCCACTTGTAATGCTGGTGAAACATAAGAAGTGTATTTACAGGAACTGTGGAGTTCATCATGGATAAGCACCAGAACTTCTTCTTTATGGAGATGAACACCAGACTTCAGGTGGAACATCCTGTCACTGAGATGGTCACACACACAGACCTGGTGGAGTGGCAGATTAAGGTGAGTAACTCACTATGTTAGGTCATTCAAGCTTGACGTTTTAGATGACATTCTTTTGTATGTCAAACCTAGGCCTAGTTTGATGTGGGTCTTCCGGCCTGTATTATAACCAGTGGTTTCACACAGATAGAGTGATCTGGAAGAGTATTGTACAATTTCGAGCACCTACATTGTTCGTGTATAAAGGGAAGACTTAGTAGCTGCTGATGTTCTTGGATTTGACAGTTTAAAATTGTTCCTTGTTGCAGATCTTGTGCTGTAACTGTGCTGGTTGGATAAATTTTAGCTGTAGTTTACTGCAGTGTTGTTGGTTGCTTATACATGTAGAAGAGCAATTTGTGGGAAGTTGTTAACGTAGAGTCTTTCACGTTCAGTCACAGTTCTGGTACTAGATAAAGCAGAAGACTAAACTATTACACTAAAACTGTGTGTACAACATTACTCCCTAAACAACATCATCCATTGGCAATCTGTTCTCAACTCTGTAATCTTCCGCTGCAAATTCTTCGGCAATGTCTGGGTCCGTCTGTGTTCTTAGTGTGTATTTTGATTCCTGCTATTATTGTATTTCTACTTGTATGTTTTATTTTATATGGGCCATGGATGCCTGAAATAAAAAAAAAAGATGAAAGAAAACCTCTGAAACCCCTACAGGCAGCGGCAGGAGAACCCCTCCCTGTGACACAGGAGGACATCAGACTGACAGGACACGCCTTCGAGGCCAGGATCTACGCCGAGGATCCCGCCAACAACTTCATGCCGGGGGCGGGGCCTCTGGTTCACCTGGCAACCCCCGCCGCTGACGACACTGTCAGGATAGAGACCGGTGTCCGAGCAGGTACGGAACTTGTTAGAGGCACAGACAAGTGATTAAAAGCATCTTTGTCAAACTCTTTTGATCTATAAGGCAGAGGAAAAAAATGTGTTTCAGTCCTGAAAAAAATAAGTTTGGTAGGTAGGGATTATCTTTTTATTTCTTTTTTTTCAGACTTCGGTGATATCTATATGGGGGTCCAACTTACACAGTACAGTTACACTTGCCTGAGGACACTTTTATTTTCAATGTCACTGTTAGAAAACCAATTGTACAATGCTTTATCACTAAGGTGTCAGATCATGGAGCTAGAAAAGGTTGATCAGCTCAAAAAATTAAGTCCCTTGCAGGGGTCCACTGACTCCCAAAAAAAGTCTAGGGTCAGCAGGTTTTTTGAGGGTCAGTCGGGAAACAGGAAACACAACATTTTTTTCCTAGGCTTAAGTGGTTTTGGCAAAGGTAGTCAACCTAAGGTAGACAAGAAGCGAATTTTTATGATGCATACAAATCAAAGTCTCACAGAGGCACTACTGTTGTCATACCTTTCAGTCTCAATGTTGATTTAGGAAGGAAAAGTGGGTGCCTTGTTCCAAGCGCCACCTGTCAGTTTACAACTTAAGTGCATGCTATTTTATACAATGTGCACATGTAGTGTCAGAAATGAGGTGTGTGGAAGTTACGAATGTGCTGATTTCTGTGGATTGTTGCTTACAGGGGATGAAGTGTCTGTACATTATGACCCTATGATTGCCAAGCTGGTGGTTTGGGGACCAGACAGGCCAGCAGCTCTCAACAAACTCAAGCACTGCCTCACACAGTACAATGTAAGAAAACCAGCCTTTGCATACATGTATCTTTGTCTTATTACCTTCGTCAGAAGGTTATGTCTTTAGGTACACCATACATAGGGGTTGCTGATTTTTTCGGTTATAACATGAGGTGTGGTGCATGTATCTTTATGATATTTGGTAGGTAGGATAAGGTTGGGAAAAGGAAAGTCAAGGTCAATTTCGGTTACTCTAGTGGTTTTGTAAGGTACCAGGGGTTTTTCTGAACAGGGGAACAAGGGCGCTGCGCCCTCATGTAACAAACCAGCGCCCTCATATCAATTTTCAGATTGAAGTCTAAGTCTTTTTCAAAATCATCTTTTTCCAGTAAAAATACAAAACCAAAACCACAGAACAATAAATTCTAGCATTACAAACTATGTTACTCTCATAAAAATTCCAAAATCTTATCACAAACTTGAAAATTTAGCTCTAGTAGTAAAAGTTTGAATGGAATAAACAATGTTCATTGAGAACTTGCTCAAAGAAATGTAGCTAGACCTCCTTCATTTGCATACCATAGAACAGGCTCTGAAATGAAACATGAGACCTGAGTTTGTAGCAGCTTGGATGAATGTGTTGCAATTGTGCCATGGGAAAGGTTTCAGCTTGTGGCAAACCCAATGTTGTCATCTGGAGCTACTAGTAACATTGATCACTAATTGTGTAAGTGTATAAAGGGTGATTTGCAGATTGTGTGTACTGTTGATTGTACTTATATTTTATAAGGGAAATATGCAATGCATGAATAGAAATTTGGGAAAGATATTGAGGTTATTAAGAGTTCAAATTTTCCCCCTCAAGTAGCCTCAAAATGTCCCATTTCAACTTCAAATTTTCAAAGGCTTCACATGGGGATACCCCCCTTCCGCACCCACCCCCCCTCGGTCGCTTCGCTCCCTCGCCATGATACTGCTCCCTCATGCCAAATTTTTCTAGAAAAACCCCTGAGGTACTGCAGCAGGGTACATGGGTATGATATCTCGTGCTGTGGACATGCTATGGTCTTGATTTTTGAGTGGGACACAGATGTTTGGGCAGTAGATATCTGGTGTGGTTTTCAGCAAAATAGCTGCTGTGGTCATTTTTATTACGGAATGTGACTAGACGGGATAACTTTTATTGTTTTTTTTAAGTCAAGGTTTTCAAATGCAACTTTTTTCTATTTTTCTTATCCAGATTGTAGGTCTTGCGAACAATGTGACGTTCCTGAGTCAGCTGTCTTCTCACTCGGAGTTTGCGGCGGGGAACGTTCACACAGGGTTCATCGACCTCCACGAGTCACAGCTGTTCCCTGAAAGACAACCCCTCCCCCACGAGTCATTGTGTCAGGCGGCTCTCGCTCTACTACTTCTCGAGGAGGACCAGATGAGCATTTCCTCTGTCATGTCTCAAGGTTTGAAGATTTTTTTCGGAATGAATGAAGGGAAGAAGAAAGGAATGAAGGAAGGAATTAAGAAATGGATACTCAAATGTCATTTGATCTTCTCTGCATGCACCAATACTAGATAGAAAGTTGAATTTTTTAAATATTATCATAACAATCATGATAACTACGACATAGAATTTTCTGAAGTTAAAATTCTCACATCTTTCAGTGTATAGGGCGGTGCCTATCTCCATTTCTGTAGCCCTTTGGCTGCACAGCTATTCAAGCACTATAGCAGGGTGCTTAGTTAAACTTAGTAAGTTAGTAGTGATATGTTTTCAACCACTAGACTTTTTCTCACAAGTGTCGAGAGCTATGCATAGAAAGCTGTATGTACATTGTACTATCTTCTAAGTCTTTGGTATGACCAGATTGTTCTAAAGTACATTTTAAGTCGTACTTAACTGGATTTTTTTTTCATTTCAGATCCGTTTTCTCCCTTTGCCAGTGCCACTGGGAGAAGACTAAATCACACCTTTACGAGAAAGGTTGCTCTTAATGATGGAGACAACAGTAAGTGTAGTTTTCTTGTTTGTTTGTTTGTTTTGCACTTACGATACAATGTACAAATAAAACAAAATGTAACAAAACAAATAGACATGCATGGGAGGGCCTGAAACCTGGTGGTTTGTCTTTGGCCCTCCCCAATACTACAAGATTAAAAGATTATCATTACTAAATGAACCAAATTTTAATCAAAGAAACAATAATAGCAGAAAGTAAACAAAAACAATTCAAAGAACTAATGAAATAATACATACCATCTATCTAAACAGTATCAGCTTGTAATTAGTATCAAAAATTATACATTGAAAAGCGAAATTTTGATAATTTTTTCATTGCCAATGTTTTGAGCATTTTATGATGTTGTTAACTTGTTGTACTGTACCTGTGATTTTATTTGCAGAAGTCCAGATTCATATATCCTATGGTGGAGAGGACACATACAAAATGCAGGTTTGTGCAGTTTTGTACAATATTTGTGGCACTTAATGTTTTGACAGCATACATGTGTTATGTGTTTCCATTGTATTCTTTCAACCACAAACTTACATTTGTAGGCCACACCAATTTAATTTCTTGGTTAACGGATTTTTCTAGAAAAATAATGGAGCGGGCGGGCGAAAAAAAAATACAAACAGGTCTAGGCATCCTATTATGGCCCAAAACGGTACGATAGGAGCCATGAAGTCAACACACCAGGCTTTAAACAATAAATTTTGAACTTTTAATGATACCACTGCATTGAAAGATGGAATAACTGTAACAACTAGGAAGAAAAGGACTGCTTACAACTGTTCAGGGTAAAATATGAGTATTTTGCAGTTGATTCTGAATGTTTATTTTTTTTTTTGCAAATCAGAAAAACAGAAGCTGGCGAATCCGTTAACCAAGAAATTAAATTGGTGTTGCCTTAAAACACCAAAAAAAAAACCAACTAATTTTCCCTTCTAATGCAAAAATAAATCAGTAACAGTTTAATCTAAAATTGCAAGTCATTTTTTGAAAATAATTTGTGTGTGTATTCCCCCAGATTGCAGACCAGTGTTATGAAGTGTCAGGGTTCCTGCAGTCAGGAGGCAGTATGGAGGAGCTGAGGTGTACCATAGATGGCTCCAGGTCTACAGCCAGAGTCGCTCTGCATGGGAGCTCTCTACATGTCTTCTCTATGGTGAGAACTCTTCTGGTTTGAGAGTATATTCCTGACCAGGGCTCGAAATTGATTTTTGGGAATAGGTGCACTGGTGCACCCAACCTAAAAATTTGGGTGCACAAAAAGTAAGAAGAATGTCAGTAAAAACTAATTTCCGGGGTATGTTTCATTTCTTAAGAAAAGTACAATAATGTACTACAATGTACAAAGTACAACAATGATTTTATTATTTTTCTGACATTTAGATGTTAAGAATATGATTTTGCATACTACTATACATATAACATCTTAAAGTTTACAAATTGGGTGCACAAAAAGTTTTTGGGGTGCACAATGTAAGATAAAATAAGTAGAATGTCACAAAAATCTAATCATGTTCAAGTTTTATTTCTAAAGAAAAGTACAACAGCAATGATTTTATTATTTTTCTGACACTTAAGAATATACTGTAAACCTATGAAAATATTTGGGTGCACTGGTGCACCCACAGAAAAAAATTGGGTGCACAGCTCCAAATTTGGGTGCACTAAGGTGCACATGCACCCAGTATTTTGAGCCCTGGACGATATAGAAATGGACTGACACAGCTCTTTTCTCTTCTTTCCCTAGGATGGTCCATGTGAGATCCAGCTCCCCACACCAAAGTACATAGAGAAGCTGCGGGGGAGGGGGTCAGGGTCCACAGGGGGGGCTGTGGCACCCATGCCTGGGGTGATAGAGAAGGTGTACGTCCAGGATGGGGACACTGTGGAGAAGGGAGACCCTCTCATGGTCATGATCGCTATGAAGATGGAGGTACGGACATCTTGAATGTTACATGACACAAGTAGTCTTGAAATTAGCTTCCTTACTTGGATTGAAAGGCAAAGTTATTACATGTATTACATGTATTTATCTACTTACTTGCATGTATTACATGTATTTATCTACTTACTTACTTACATGTATGAATGAGATGTGTTGACCTGTTTTTTAATTGCTTTTAACATGTTGTACATTCATCTCTGTGATCTCTTATTAACAATTGTTTTATTGCCCAAGGGCTAATTGCAGGAACAGGAGAAACATATGGTATAAAAACAGACAATTAGTACACAGAGAACTACTGATAATTACTAAGAAACTACTAGTAAAAACTACTGGGTTTGACTTCTTTTTTGAAGACAGAGGAAGACAACATTATGTAGTAAGCTTTGATTTTTATGGAAATTTAACAGATTTCATGTTATCATGGAAGTGTATGTAACATCCAGGTTGATTGCAATGAATCTGAATCTGTTATAGAGTGTTACTTGATTTAGTGGATGCTACTAAAAAGTTTTCAAAATCTATTCAGTAAGTTGCTTGAGTAACAATTTTCTTGTGTAGATGTAGAGTAAGTAAGTAACTTTAGCTCCTTGAAGACACGTATAATATGTACATGTACATGTAAAAACTAACAATGCCTTCCTTTTGGTGCTTGACCCAAAGGGCTTGCTCATTTACCCAAGTCCAATGCTGCCAAAATGTGTGATTTGTAGTGGTTGAAAGAAAGCAGTCACACACTGTGCCTGAGATATCTTATATGTATTTTGTGAAGCTTTTTATTACCTTCGCCAAGAAGGTTATGTTTTCGTAGGCGTTCGTGTGTCTGTGTGTGTGTGTGTCAGCACGATAACTCAAGAAGGCTAAGATGGATTGTCTTGATATTTGGTAGGTGGGTAGATCTTCATGAGACGTGGAACTGATTAAATTTTGGGCCCCCTAGCGGCTTGTTATGGTACTGCAGCTGAACTTCCGGTTTTGATATCTCGTGATCTAGACATGCTAGGGTGACGAAATTTGGATGGTAGGTAGCTCTTGTGCTGGGGAAGAAGTGACGTGAGTTTGGCCCCCCTAGCGGCTTGCTCTGGAACTGCAGGGGCGTTAGTTGAAAAATGTTTAAAGGCGGATAACTCAAGAACCGATTGATACATGTAGATCGTCGGGATTTTTGGTATGTAGGTAGCTGAAGTGATGCTTGACATAATAATATTATAATTATCCAAATATTAATGTAATTTGCATAATTAATGAGGAAATTCTATAAATCAGCTGCATTCCATGATAGCACTATTCAAGCTTGTGACATATGTAATTAAGAACGGCAGAAATACAGGCAGATATCGATTATGCAAATGAAGACTTAATTTGCATAATTAATGAGAAAATGCTATAATTATATAGTGGTAACTGCCTGGAATTTCAAACTTGGGACATTTGAAAGTTATGTGAAGGTGAACATAATTAAACATAACTTATTCAAATAAGGACCTCATTTGCATAATTTATGAGGAAATGCTATAACGGCATTCTTTGATAAGATAAGACTGTCTTCGGTGTAGAATATGATCAACAGATATAATTGATGCAATATAGGATCCTATTTGCACAATCAGGGGGATTAATCTATAATTTCTTAGTCATAAGGGCTAACATCATTTGGCGAAGGTATGAGATCGTGGAACTCTAGTTTTCATCTCCTTTCAGCATGTTATCAAGGCTCCTGAAGCAGGTGTACTGGAGAGGGTTCTGTTCAAAGAGGGAGACAAGGTGGACAAGGGGTCAGAACTGGTGGTGTACCAACAGGAACAAGAGGACAGCAATGGTGAAGAGGAGTCCTAACACCTCACCAGGACTTAGGCCTAGGAAAATGAATGTTGTGTTTCCTGTTTCAGTCCTGAAAAAATCAGAGTCGATAGGTAGGGATTATCTTTTTTTTTTCGTCTTCTTTTCTTTTTGGACTTTGGTGATCTCTAGTAATCCAACTGGTACAATGTAGTTTAACAAAGTAAAAGTTGCATCAGGACACTTCTATTTTCAATGTCAGTGTTGGAACTGATTGTACAATGTTTTATCACTCACTAGTCAGATCATGGAGTTAGAAATGGTTGATCAGCTTGAAAAATTTATGTCCCTTGCAGGGATCCATAAAAAAAAGGCTGGGGTCGGCAGGTTTTTCTATGGTTGGTTGGGAAACAGGAAACATAAAATTTTTTTTCCTAGGCCTTGGGACACACCAACAAGGGAATGGCTCTTGGACCTAGAACAAAAAAATGTTGTGTTTCCTGTTTCCCGACCGACCCTAGAAAAAGTTGCAGACCCTAGACTTTTTTTGTGGACTCCTGCAAGGGACATAGATTTTTCAAGCTGATAGACCTTTTCTAGCTCCATGATCTGACACCTGAGTGATGAAACATTCAGTACAAGCAGTTTTCCAACATTGACATAGAAATATTGTGTGAGTGTCCATGTGCAAGTTTAAAAAAGATAATCGCTACTGACTCTAGTTATTTTAGGACTGAAACAGGAAACACAATTTTTTTTAGGCCTTGTCAGAAACACAGGGATTTTACAGTAGAACCTAGGAGGTTAAGCTATCTAATATCTACATGTATGGTCAAACTAATATTTTATTTCTGAATTTTGGTGAATACTAGACTAATAGACAGAATGAATTCAGAGTTCCAAGTATATGATAGTATGTATGATAACTGTCAGTTAAATTATTTTGAATACTATACATGTACTAGAGTACACTTGACAGTTTACCATGTAGTTGATAATGATGAACTACTTGTACATGTTATATCATTCTTCCAGAGTCTTCGGGTAGCAAATTCTCATGTATCATTTTAATTTTTGTGGATAGTCTAAGGCCAGTCGTTTCTTTGATTTTCAATAAACTGATGTTTGTCAAACATATCAGTTTGTAATATGTGTCAACTCTTTATTTTTTCATGTGCATGTCCTGTGATGGAATTGTGTGTGGTGTAGTGGTTAGAAACCCTGCTTCTGGCCCACAAGATGTTGAATTGTGTCTTTGCCACTGACTGTATGCCCCCCACTGCATTTTGCATGTGCAATTGCAGTCTAAAAGAGTACAGATATGACTTGATCTGTGTGGATTTTAATTTAAAAAAAAAAAACAGTCTTATGATAGTACAATAGCTCAATTGGTAGAGTGCTCGCTTTGTAACCGGGAGGTCGTGAGTTCAAACCCCCCGGGTCATACCAAAGACTTAAAAAAATGGTAACAATTCTTTATCTGCTTAGCACTCAGCACATATGAGAAAGAGTGTGGGAAGGTCAAACACACAGCACTACCAGCGGACTAGCCCCCTGCTGTAGTGCATTGCACAATTGTGTGTCGCCCAAGGGCTATAGAAATGGAGATGGGCACCACCCTACGCTCTGCATAAGGGCAGACCTTTTCTTTTTTTATGATGGTATCTGGGACAATAACTGGTATTGAGGTCACCCAATTGATCATCTTTATTATGCATGCATTGTTTGAAAAAGAAGAAGAAAAATCTATTTCTTTGTGTTGGTTTGCTATATTGCAAGACAGTCATAAACATAAAAGATAGCATGTATTCAAGTTAACAGGTGTTACTTATAAAGTTTTTTTTTCATCCACGTCAGTTGACAATAGTGGTTAGAGGGGGGTAGCCAATTTTACTGTCAACAACAGCACATGTAGGTCATTAAAGGGGCCTATTAACTAGACTTTAGAAAAGCAAAACAAAAGTAATGTTTTCAGTAAACAAAACATTATAACTATAGCCGGCTGGTACTGACGAAAACAGGCAGTCGTCACTCATCATACTTAGGCCACACCAATTTAATTTGTTGGTTCTCGGAATTTTCTCAGAAAGAATATGAAGCGACGGCGAAAAAAATGAAGACAACTCTAGGCATCCTATTATAGCCCCAAATGCTACGATAGGAGCCAAAACAAAAGTCAACACAAAAGGCATGGTTAAAAATTAAACGACGAATTTTGAACTTTGAATCAAATCACTGCATTGATAGATGAAAAAAAAAATGTAACATCTAGGAAGAAAAGGACTTTCCTCAACTGTTGCGGGAAAAATATGACCATTTTTTTAGTTGATTCAGAACCAGAATCATTTTTTTTTTGCAAATCAGAAAAAAATGAAGAGGCGAATCCGAGAACCAACAAATTAAATTGGCGTGGCCTTAGGGTGCTTTGTACTACTCTCCAAGCAGAGGTTGGATTTGGGGTTATTTTTAGCATGTTTTTAGGCTTTTTTTATCAGGGTTTCTCTTTTGCACTGGATTTTTTCCCACCAAAAAAATCCAGTGCAAAAGAAAAAAAATCCAGTGCAAAAGAGAAACCTGATAAAAAAAAGCCTAAAAACATGCTAAAAATAACCCCAAATCCAACCTCTGCTTGGAGAGTAGCTTTGTACAGAGAAATCTTGCTCGACCATATTGTTTAGACAACCAAAGGGGAGGGAATATAAAGAGTAACCTGTGCGATAGGGTCAGACGGTAGAGGAGACTGAGGGGCATTCGGCATACCTGACCGTAAACGCCCGGCCAAGCGGAACGGCGACGGCGTGTGTATGGCGTCAATTGTTCGTGACCGCTAAAGCTTGGAGAACTAACATACAGTTGCCATGAGTTCATATAAACAACGCCGGCTAACAAACTTCAATGTCACGGTGTGTTTCTTCCTTACTTTCCCGTCTTCTGAAGAATCTTTAAGTGTGAACAATTATCCTTAAAGGCGACCTCAGAAGGACAGGTTTTCTAAACACGGTTGAAGTACGCGAAAATCCTACGTAAATTAAACGACATTGCTCAAACATTGCTGACAGTTTAGTCAACACTGCCTACCGGTAACTATACACAGAGCGTTACGGAAGAATACGCTTACACCGCCTTTGCAAGGGTGTCGGGGGGATCTTTTTACAGTAAGCTGTCAAGCGGGCGTCTCATGTGTTGTTTTGGTTGTCGAGTCCCCATTTTGCAGCAGAAGGGATACTTGTTGGAGTATAAAAGCGCACAATGCTCGGCCTACGCATTGCAACGGATACCGTTACACCCAATCATAAGCAAAATACCACACTTGTGTTGTACAGATTCACAGCAAGGCAAGATGTAGCAAGTCACGCTAAATACCGCGCCCGAAAAGCTGCAACTGAGCCAACACTCCACACACCCCTCGCCGAAGGAACTCTTAACATCTTAACTCTACTCCAAGGACCCTCGTAGTCTTTGTGGCATCCTATGCACGCGTTTCAGAGCCTCACAGGTAAGAAATCTTGACTTGGTTTGTGTTTGAGATTAAGGTGGTGGCTATGTGAACACCTGGCGGCTTTCCTGCTCTCCTGCTAGCTCTTGAGAAACTGTTTCAATCGTTAAGACGATCATCAAGATCCTAGTCTTTATCTGTAAGAAGGGCGTTAGTCACAGTCTTTGGCGTCTGAAAACAAGGTAGGGTGGCTGTTCTGTTCTTCCCTGTATATGGAATAGCAACTTTCATATTATATTATCATGAAAGTTCATCTGTGTTGGTAGTTACATGTTTAAAGTTAAAACGTTTGGTCCAACACAAAATTTTCTCACCTATAGCATTTTCATATCACATTCCATTGTGTTTCAGTTGTGCTATCTTTAAATGTACGTAGTTGTATTGCTGTTAGAGATTTCTACTACTCTCCAAGCAGAGGTTTGGGATTTGGGTTATTTTGGTTGTGTACATGTTGTTTAGACTTTTTATTAGGGTTTCTTTCTTGCACTGGAATTTTTCTTTCACCCAACCCAGAAAAATTCCAATACAAAAAAGAAAACCCGATAAAAAAGTCTAATAAAACGCCAAAAGCAACCAAAAACCCTAACCTCTGCTTGGAGAGTAACTTCTACATGGTCTAGGACAACGCATTGTGAATATATCGATTGAAATGTTATTACTGGAAGAAAATCCATGCATCTGCAAAAAGCGTTAGGACGGCCAATATGACCGGTGCATGTGTGTAGCAGAACGCTCTCTTATTTAGTGCCTGGTGTTTTTGGAGGAAACTTGCTGTTGGAGTTAACTTTGTTGTGGGGTCGTGTGGCGTAGCGGCAGAGTGCTCAACTCGGAACCGAGAGGTCCCGGGTTCGAGTCCTGACATGCCACCGATCTTGTGCACTTAACACGACTTTCCTCACTTCATTCAGGTGAAAATGATCATTGTCCTGTTCCGTATTTGCGTTGGTGACGACATAAAATAAGTTGATATATCTTGAGTGTGCCGTCACCATGTCTAGTCACGAAATTTCATGGAATAAAAAGAAACTTGCTGCCCAATGTGCTACGCACGGGAGGAACTAAGTCTAAGTAAATTGTACGTTTGTTGCACGATCGCAATCTAAAAACTGAGGGAACTCTTTAACAGTCGCGCATATGGCTTACACAATTTACCCGGAAAAAATTTACCCGGGTTGGTGTAAGGTTCTGTCACATGTGCACAACATGTTTAAAAGTCGATCGTGCGACACCAAAGTATCGTATAGTTTATAATATTCTATAATATTTGGCCATAAACACTTAACTTACCGCCTTATCCACGGTTTGATAGATTATTTTATCAGACTTTTCGTTACTTTTTGTCTTCAAAATCTCAAGTTGAGAAGACTTAAGGCAAGACTAGCCTTTTTTACAGGGGCTTGAAAGGCTTTGTCTGTTACGACGCCAAGACCTGAACACAACCTTCTCAATTACTACATTCCAATCCACGACATCCCATGGTCAACAAAAGACAGTTTTAAGTTCATGAAGTCTGACAAGTTGAAGTACGAATTTTGCTTCACTGACTTTAATACGTGCCAGTTATACCTTCATTTAGGCCACACCAATTTAATTTGTTGGTTCTCGGATTCGCCTCTTAATTTTTTTCTGATTTGCAAAAAAAAACAAGATTCAAAATTCTCGATCAACTAAAAAATGCTCATATTTTGCCCCCAACAGTTGAGGAAAGTCATTTTCTTCCTAGTTGTTAGAGTTTTTCCATATATCAATGCAGTGGTTTGATTAAAAGTTCAAAATTCATTGTTTAAATATTAACACAGAATTTTGTGTTGACTCCATGGCTCCTACCGTAGTATTTGGGGCTATAATAGTATACTTAGACCTGTTTTTATTTTTTTCGCCCTGTCGCTTCATATTGTTTCTAAAAAAATCCGAGAACCAACAAATTAAAGTGGTGTGGCCTTAGCTAGCAACGAAAATACCACATAGATTTTGATTTGTGTTTTAAATGGCCGTCTCAAAAGTACCGTAAATGCGGTTTTACTCAGGTACCCCGAATATGCTATTACTGACAATTTAAATGCTAGTATGTTATGTATCCTGATCTAGCTGCGAACAGTTCTTTCATGATCTTTCATTCGATCGCATACCGTCGCCGACAAATATTCTGAGGGGGAAGCTATCAGTTTGTTTTTCTTGTGTCGAATTTGGTTTAAGACCCTGTCACACATAGCCGAGTATGGCCCTCCGACCTTCTGTAGACAATAGGAGTTGGTGGTGAGCAAGGTCGTCTGTAGTTTGGACTAAGATGGTTGTCGAGGTTGCCTGCGTGCTCTTTTAAGGCGTCTTTGCTATGATTTAGGTAAAGTAGAAGACGAACTTCATTTTACCGTAGATTGTCCTTTGTATGATAGCGATAAAATTATTCTTTTCAGTTATGTGTCACGTAAATTTCCCCAATTCAGATATTTGAATAGTACTGACAAATTTATATTCCTTATAGCCTTTGACAAACCAACTTTAACTAATCATACATATATTATATTATATGTTATATGTAATATATCCTATATTTCCACTATTACTAGGAAGCGAGAGAAAGTCAAATGCACTAGACTATACTTAGAAGTTTATATAAACACGTTTATATGAATAATTGTCAACAGGTCGACCTGTATTTAGCCCAGTGGGGCAAAAATGTACAGTAATGGTCTTCATTCTTATTTATTTTTCCATGAATCTTGACAAATTAAAGTCAGGAATTTTATATACTGCATGCTTGGGTTGGGTACGATAGAACTGGAGCTAGAATAAGATAGGAACAGTCTAGTTAGATGTGGTCGTTTTTACCTGTTACCGAGTATTCTCCACTATTCCAGGTATTGTTGTGCGGAGACTCGGAAGTCAGCCATGTCCATAAGCCTGACCCAGGGGCGGTTCTTCGCTATCCAGAAAACGGAAGCACACAACCGGAAACACATCTCAGTACTCAACCGGATAGAGAAGAAACGGACGGACTTCCTCACCAGGTAAGTACACAAATATCTCCAGCGTGCACAGCGGGTACGTATACGCCTCCTCGACAGATCCCATTCTTAGATATTAAAAACCTATCCGATAGTGCTATTGTGTATCTGTTACTCAATGGATCACCTTAAGCTTTACTTCCATCTAAAGTCAACTCTGAAATACACACTATTACACAGCTGCACCTTTTTGAAACCAAGCGATTTAACAACTGATTTTATATTTCTGTATCAATTTATAATACCTTAATAGTTTAACTCTGTTTTCTTGTTACCTGGACGTTACCCATGTGACCTAAAAATCAAGGGCCTTCCAATAACCATTTTCGTCACAATTTTCGGCATTTCTGTTCCATGAATTTCGATATACATTGATAGTGTTGTTTCAACTCAGTATATACATAAGTGAGTAGAATACTGACTTTGAAAAATCTGGTTTCCAAGCCCTAAAAACTGCATTGGATGCCTTTAAGTTGAAAATGATTTTCTTTGTATTATTTGTTCCTACAGGCAGTTAGAGAAAACAAGGCAAGCGGAAGAATTCCGCGTCAAGCAACAACGTCAGAAACTGACCAAATCTTTGTCAAAGATTGAGGGTCTCCGCCGTGGACTGATGCGGAAACTATCCTTACAAAGTCAAACTCAAAATCCATACGAGAGAGACGAAAGTTCGAACTACGGAAGGTACGGCGGGATGACACTAGACGCCATCAAGAAAGACACGGACCGCTGGTTCAAACCAAAAGATCCGAAAGTCGAGCGCATGAAAAAATCGCAAGATCTTTTACGAGAAGGGCGGAAAGACGGGCGTATCATCGCTTACGAGTCCCTTCCCGCCATTTTGTCTCTCCCCGAGCAAAGGAAAGAAGAAGAGGAACGGCGCAAGCGCGAGATGAAAAGGAGGCAGCTGCCGGAAACACCCGAGAAGAGCCCCGAGGACGATTACCTCCCGAAGGAGGCCGAGAAAGCACGAGTTGGTCAGTTCGAGACTGTTCGGAAAAGACGACGAAACTCGTTGAGCCCGAGGCTGAAACTTCCTCCGCTGAAGGATTTCAAAGCGATGAAAAAGGACGACGCCTTCAGTCTTCTCAAGCCCAGGGATCCAGAAAACGATTCGAGGTTTCCTTCGATAGGAAACAACCTAGAAACTGAGGTAAACACAGGAAAGAGAGACGCAGCGACCGAGACGGACCTTCCGCCTGTCAAGAGCCATAAAAATGGGAAAGGGAATCATAAATCTAAAGCCAAACAATGGAACAAAGGCACGCACGGAGTCTTACCACCACTTATTGAAAGCTGAAGAATATATCTTACTAGAAAGGTCACATTTGCAAAGCAGAATGTTTACCTTCGCATATGGTCTGCTCTGTTAACTCAAACACATTCATATATATGGCGAGACAGGAGTCTAATCCCTCCTGCTATAAAATTGCAACATGATGTAACCCAACACTAGTTACTATGGTGAAAGACGTCTGGTTCAGGTTATTGACCTTATTTGTTTAGAGAAGAAGAAAATGAAGAAATGAAGAAACAGAGCAAAAACAATATGTTTTCCTTCTGCGAATGATATTGCTAGAAGTGGTGTCAACTTTATCAAGCATTCTATGGCCAAAATTTCACGAAAATGTACAGTTTTAAAAGCCCTATATTTGCTCGTTTGAACTGCAAATATGTGACTTAATATATGATTGTATTATTGCATAGCAAATGCTGCTACTGAAGAGTATATGAACTTGCTGACAAGATGGGAATTTTGTTTTATGTCAAAATCTATATGGACGAAAACGATAGTTCAATTGTTGATTGTATGAGATGTGTATGTTTAATACGACAGCCGCTTTAAAGCGGTATTAAAGATAGCATATCTAATGTATAAGTAAGTACACTTTTCTGGATGAAAAACTTACAGTTTTACACAACATAATATGGTATTTGGTATTTATTTATTTTTTGCAGCACACGTACATTTCACAGATGGACGGATCCTAAGTTATAAAGATACTATACAGATGGGTCAAGAAAAATATATGAATGTACTACATATAGTACATATGATTTTACATACTACCAAATGAAAGCCATTGGTAACTTTTCTATTCTTAAATGCAAGCACATTAAACATTTGTCGACGCCAACAAATCTACAGTGCTTCTGTAGTCTGTACAGTTTCCTTAAACATTTTACTGATTATCATGATATCTTTCGATATCTTCACCCCCAATCAGTACTATAATTTGCACAACTTGTATTACTATACCCTCTAGCATACCAGTGTAGCCTCATGGACGAATTCAAGTGCTTGGTGAAAATATATGATGGTATATACTACATGGTGTTTGGTGCCCTTATGCTTCCAGATTATTATGAACGTTCATTTGTGTTGGTAGTAATCATAGTAAAATGTAGAACCTTATTCCAACACAAGGGTTACACAGAGATCAAATTTTCAACGACCACTGTCACCTTCATCAGGATAATTAATGACCAATCACTTCTAAACGTAATCTCGCGAGAGTTACGGTTACTTACGGCAGACACGAGACTTTACGGATACGTGACGTAGGCAATTGTCAAGAAATTGTTCTTTTATAAACGTTTCAGTTTTAAAGTTTTGACATATTTGTTGTTCAAACCACGTGGGGAGACATGACCAGTACATGAAAATATGATCTTGTGACGTTGTTTCAAGTTTCAAGGAGGCTAAATCAGGCCTACTTGGCTGCAGTCATGAACATTTCTGATTCAATTTTTTGTATGGCTTGAAACTCTCCAAGGATACCTTAATAAAACACTCAAAATTCATTTTTGGGAACCATTGCACTGGTGCACCCAACCTAAAAAAAATCGGGTGCACAAAATTGTTTTTTGGTGCACCATATGAAAGGAAATATATAGAATGTCAGCAAAAACTAATTATGTTTTCCAAAGAGAAATACCAGAACAAAGATTTTCTTATTTTTCTGACACTCAGATCAAGAGTATGTATAGTAATATATATTTTGCATCTTTACATACGGTAAACCTACGAAAATATTTGGGTGCACTGGTGCAGCCACAGAAAAAAAAAATTGAGTTCACAGCTCCAAATTTGGGTGCACTAAGGTGCACATGCACCCAGTATTTCGAGCCCTGCCATACGTTGCACGATTCACGATATGCTAGTCTTCAACATGAGGCCACAGCAAGTAATTTTATGGATCACGTCAGCGCGCACATTAATTTTCGCCTGATTTGTTGTCATGCCGGAAGGTGAATGGCAGATAAATATGAAAAGAGGAGACAAGAAAAGGCTCTGATTTAATGTATTGTTTCTTACTTTGATGCAGTGATATGTGATGCTGGCTGTGCATATGTGACGTTCCCTCTAAATAAAAACCATTTGTACGATAACTGAGTCAAAATTTTAAAATGTAGGAACCTTGTTTTTTTCAGCCCGCCTCTTTTTTTTCGCCCGCTCGCATTAGATTTGGAATCTGCGGAGGATTTCATCCATAAAATTTACTTGCTGTGGCCTAACAGCTTTTTATTCATTCATTGCCGGCGGGTGTTATAGACCTGGCCGGGGATGCGGAAGCCTCGGCCCGCGGCGGTACGTACTTAGGAGGCCCGGGCACGGCGTCGGGATAGACTGGCTTCGCAGCCTCCTCCACGGCCTCTTGGTCTTGGTAGAGCTCAGGTTCCTCCGGACGAGGCTGTTGGGCCGGAGGTGGCTGGTATGTAGGCGTTGACTCGCTTAGCTCCGTTATGGCAAGGTCTTCTTCTTCTACGCGGGTTGGTCTTGCCATTGCCGGGTTGGTGTGGTACGCAACGGTTTGTAGAGCTGGCTAAATATAAGGGAAGTAGACTATTAGAATCACACGTTGTATAAACACAATATTTAACGCGGCTCCTTCCCTGAGGCGTCGCCAAAAATACACCAATAGTGTGGCATACAGTAGAGTACAAAAAAGTACAGCTTACGTTATAGAGTACATATACCTTACCTTACTCTACGTTGAGTTTGTTTATTAATCGAGAGAATTATTTTCCTAAAAGAAAATACAGATCACAAATTTCATGTTTGCAAGCCATAAACTACATCGAGTAGGCGATAATTATCAATCAATCAAATGGTTTTTATTAATCAAAAAGGTCATGTTGATTTGATTATATGGATGGCATCCGCGCGCGCATGAATTTTCGTCCGTTTCAAAAAAAAAAGTTTTGACCATACTGTTAATCGTACAAAGTAGCTGCAAAATGAGCAAATATTTGCCGTAAATTGAACAAAAAAATATTGGAAAACGATAGGTATGCCGCAGAACACCAAATCCATTCCAAAGGACAACAAGAAAAACTTCGCTTATTCACCATATATTGGTTTATTTCACAAATACAATAAGCAGAACAATTTGTATGTTTCACATCGCAGCCGCAGGCTGAATTGCGTGCACATATTACATATTACTTATTAAAATCATAATGCCGCAACTGTTTAAAACCCTAGCTTATTTACTTTAAAAAAAATAGTAAAGTATATCTTGTCTTTCCTTTAATGCCCACGATCATTATATTGATCATTATGGCATGTCAATTCTTGGCAAGACTCCGGATTGTAGAATTTGTACCATCGCACACCGGGGCATGCCCCTACTCTTTTTCGAAAGGTGTGGTGGGTTCTTTAACGTGCGTGGGGTGTGGCTCTCCCCAAACACGGGACCTCCATTTAACGTCCTATCCGAGGGACGTCCCTAACCGAAGCTAGGTACTCATTTACACCTGAGTGAAGTGAGGAAAGTCGTGTAAAGTGCCTTTCCCAAGGGCACAAGATCGGTGACATGGGTGGGGATCGAACCCGGGACCTCTAGGTCCCGAGCCGAACGCGCTACCGCTGCGCCACACGACCCCAAGTATATACAATGACACTAAATACAAGGACAATAAATACAACCTGTAAGCACAAAAGGACTGTACGGATACCCTACTATACAGAGTTGTTCAACAGTGTGACAAAGTATGGGATTGAGCTCACCATGGCAATGAAATATTACTCTGTGTGTTTAGTCATTATATTTGTTCAACCTTCAAGACCGCTTAGATTTCATGATGAAGGCAACTTTTTTTTGCCAACTTATTTTTTTATTCGCACACTCGTATCAGTTTTGGAGTTCCCAAAGCATGTCATCCATGCAATGAAATCAACACGGCCTCACCGCGAGAACCCTAGCCTTACCTCCTGCTTTTCTGAATCCATCCGCTGGGAGGCGCTGTTGTCCTGTTGGTGCAGGATAAAGAAGCAGACGGCGAGGACGATGACGATGATAAACAGGATGACAGCGATCGCGATGGCGGCGATCACTCCCACGCCTAGGCCACGTGCCTGGGCAGCAGTTACAACAGCACCGGCCACTCCAACTTTGCAAAAGAGAATCATCATTAGGCCACAACAAGTAAATTTTATGGATGACATCCTCCACAGACTCCAAATCTAATGCGAGCGAGCGAACAAAACAAGGCGGGCCCAAAAAACAAGGTTCCTACATTTTAAAAATTTGACTCAATCATTGCACAGATGGTTTTGATTCAGTGGGAAGATTACATATACACAGCCAGCATCACATATCTCTGCATCAAAGTAAGAAACAAAACATTAAATCAGAGCCTTGTCTTGTCTCCTCTCTTTATAGTTATCTGCCATCCTGATTCCGGCATGGCAACAGACATCTTGGCCTATTTTCGGCATGGTGACCACTGTCAGAAGGCAACAAAATTTCTTGTTTTTTTCTTCCAAAATCAGGCGAAAATTAATGTGCGCGCTGATGTCATCCATAAAAATTACTTGCTGTGGCCATATAGACAGATAACTAGATTAACAAGAACGTTAGTGTTGGTGGATTTTCAATTGTTGTTATTTCAGTACCAAGGACAGCAACGCTCAAGGGGAGAAAACTCATGGATACAAAAATCTCGGGATAATTCCCTGTAAAGCATGTGGTGGGAACGTCAATGAAAAACACGTATTTAAACTGACCTCATAATAATTTCAATAATCCCCTCAATCAACACAAAAGAGCAAAAAAAAGTAAAACAAAAGCCAGCTAAAAAGCTGATTGTATGTGACACTACAACGTGTGAATATGGATAGACACCGCCATATTTTGACGGAGCCTTTAGCCCACCAACATGACGGGCGCTAAACACGTCATAGTCACGTGACTTTATACACCCAATAGGAGCGGTCCTTACTTGCGCAGTTGGCGTGCATAGCACTGGTGCTCTCGTCAGTGTTATCTCCGCAGTGGTTGGCCAGGTCACACGTCAGGTCCCGGGACACACACCGGCCGTTCCCGCACTCAAACTCCGTACTGTCGCACGGAGAACCTGGGAAAAAATAATTTCAATCTATTCAATCCAACAAAATCGTACAAAAGCAGGAAATGTTAATGCACCCCTAATTATGTATTCGATTTTTACAATTGGTTAAAAAACAAAACAGGACAAGTACACAGAAACACACTATATACAAATATGTACAAACACCATTCAATCTACAACAGGAAATAGCAGACATGGGTTTTCAAATATCAGCCCTTATCACTGTCATTGTAGAGTCACGGCGGTCTGTCACTACGGCATTCTTTCCCATTGCTATGCGCGTTCTAAAAGGTATCGGGTTACAACACGCTATTTTGGCCTGTTTTGGACTACCCGTAAAATATTTGAAAATACACAAATAATATTTAGGGGTAAATTTCGTCAAATTAAAATGAAATTATCGTCTTAACATCCTTTAAATGTTAGCTTTTTATGTTAAATCAATGATTTTTTAAAATTTCGCTCAGAAAGACGATCATTTTCGGGTTTCCGAGCACAAGTCATGTCTCGTTTTTAAGCAAACATCGTTCAAACCTGGCTACGTATATTACCCCAGATCCCCGATTTTTATATTTTTCGCAGACTAGGAATAAGACAAAAAATCGTGTTTTAGGGATTTTTTAATTTCTGATTTTAAGTCTAGTTTTTGTCGACATATTGGTGAAAAAATGGCATTTTTTACATTTTTCTCACTAAATTACCCATAATTCAAAATTGAGGCCATT